TCTGAATCCTTCACTCCTCCCCGCTGTACACTGCAGTCGGCCCCGCGAGCCCCCCGGGTCTCACAGTCTGGATCCTTCACGGGTCTCTCACCGCCTGCTGCGTGAGTGAAGAGAGCCGCGGTGTGAAGAGAGCCCCGGTGTGAAGGGGTTGGGTTGGCTAAGATGTGCCGCCGCCGGGGGGGGGGGGGGCAGAAACCACCCGAGATCACACGAGATTGCCCCCCGAGACTAGGCGGTCAACGTCGAGGAGTGCCGCCCGGGCGCAAAGGCGCCGTGCCAGCCCTCCCTCCACCCCTCGATCCCCGCCGCGGCTCTCCCCGCCGCCAAGGCCGCCGGCGGCGGCAAGGGCGGTGGCGAGGGAAAGGGCTGCCCGGCGGCGGTGCTGGTGGCGCTGGAGCGCTCCTGCGAGGTCGCTTTCGACGACGTCTGCCGCCAGCTCGCCTACCACGCTGGGGGAGACACCTCACTCTTTGACGTCGTCGTCCTCGCATACTCGTTACTCAGGGGCGTGGCATATCTCCCGTATATCTCCCCACATCTCCCCACATTTCCCCACATCTCCCCATATCTCCTCATATCTCCCCATATCGCCCCATATCTCCTCATATCTCCCCATATCTCCCCATATCTCCCCGCAGCTACGTGCACGTCAGCGACGCGCTCCGCTCGTACGTCTCGCCGTCGCGCCTCGCCGCCGCCGCCGCCGACCCCACAGGCGCCCGCGGCCAGGCTCTCCTCAGCGAGGCGTCAGCTAGAGATCGTCTCGACTGGTCTCAGCAGCATCTCGGCCACGCCTCGGCTCACCTCGGCTGGAGGTGCGTTTCGGCCAGACTCCCGCCGCCGACCCCCGCATAACCCCCGCAGAACCCCCGCAGAGTCGCGAGAGCGCGACGGCCGCTTCGGCGGATTTGCGCTGCCGCCGCGCAACGAGAAGCTGATCCGCGCGGCGAGATCGAGCCGAGATACAGCCGAGATACAGCCGAGATACAGCAGGGGAGCTGCTCCTCGCGCGGCGAGATCTAGCCGAGACCCAGCCGAGATCTAGCCGAGAGTTGGAGCCGAGGTGGAGCCGAGGTTCCGCCGAGAGGGGCTGAGCTCACGGAGCCGAGGTTCAGCCGAGATGGCCGAGATGGGCAGCCGACGAGAGCCGCCACCGTGCAGCCGAGATGGGATCATCCGAGATCACGAGAGGTCGACCCGGGTGGCTGTAGGCGCTGGCGGCGGTGTTTGGCGAGCTGGGCGGCAACGGCCTGTGGCCGTCGGGGCAGCCCATCTTCACCACGCGCGGGCGCGGCAACGACGTCGGCAACGCCTTTGTCTTCTCGCCAGACCTCCTCGCCTCGCTCATCGAGACGTTGCCGCCCGAGGCTCGCACTTCTCGGCCAGATCTCCCCATATCTCCCCATATCTCACCATATCTCCCCATATCTCCCGACATCTCCCGACATCTCCCGACATCTCCCCGCAGCTACGTGCACACGAAGAGAGCCCCGGTGTGAAGGGGTTGGGTTGGCTAAGATGTGCCGCCGCCGGGGGGGGGGGGGGGGGCAGAGACCACCCGAGATCACACGAGATTGCCCCCCGAGACGTCGCACTTCTCGGCAAGCCCTCGGCCAGATCTCGGCAAGCCCTCGGCCAGATCTCGGCAAGCCCTCGGCCAGATCTCGGCAGACCTCGCCCTCTCTCGGCTCTGCCGCCTGGACTTCTGCGCTCATTTGCAATCGTGTCGCGTTGCTTGCCCTCATCGATATCTGATGACACCTGATGGAACGGTTAGAGGAGCTGGCGGCTGTGATGGCGAGATTAGCCAAGAGACCGCGTTGCTTGCCCCACATCGCCAGGCGATGCGGCCGCATCTCGGCGCCGTCGCCTCGCACACGGTGAGGCCCTCGCCCCACGCGGTGGCGGAGCTGCGAGCAGGCGCCGTTCACGCCGCTCGCTGTGGACAGGCGTGGCTCGCGTCGCACGTCGTGGAGGAGCTGCTGCCGACGGGCGGGCGCCTTATGGGGCGAGCGATCATCAACCCCTCCCCCCGTCGCACACGCCTCACGCCTCCATCCTCTCCTCCCGATGGCAGTTCCCTGCCCCTCTCCCCTTGCGGTACGGCGCTCTCTCTCGCCGATGCGGTCTGATGCAGCCGCCCATGGATGGTTCATCAGGTGGCGCTCCTCCCACCTGCCGCCGGA